TGTCGGAGCTGCCTGCGACGCGCTGATGAGATCCAAAAAGATCGAAATCGCGATCCGCCTCTGGCAGTTTCGACAGAATACAGACCACTTCGAATTATTTTATTTAATTAATAGTTTGGATATAAGTGTTATCTTCTCCTATCGAAATCTTAAGGTAACGGTAGGAAAGGTTAATTTGTTACCCTGTTTCATTAAAACTTGATGAAAAAACAGATAGCGGCAGAGTTTGGAATTAAATTAAGACTAATCAAAGAACGAGAGAGCGACCAGATATTTAGAAAATGAAGTGTATATTTCTGCAGGCTGCTACAAATTAAGGAATTACATTTTTTTTTCATGGGCTTTAAAAGTAGGTTAATATTTTTCGTGCGGTAATTATTATGTATTTTTTCATCCGATTCCCTCTTGTTTTTCGATTTGGCTCGAGATCCGCACCTAAAAAGCGAAAATCCCTTTCAGAAAGACTTATGCGATGAGCGCGGCTTAAAAACGGCTAAATGGCATGCTCGTTATTCGTACATTTCGCACACCATAATGGCCATTATCCATCTAGAATACGTCACGAGCATTAAAACATGTAAGTACTTATTTCGGAAGTTTTCTCCTATATGTTGAAACGATTACCATAATGGGAGGAAAATAAGGCGACTCTAGGCTATCGATTCCATTTAATACACATTCATTTTAGCCAACTATAGTTGGGACGTTTAAAATTGGCATAGTCCGTAATAAAACAGTCGCATTTACATTCTTCTTTCAACCTACTAACTAGACAGCGCACACTAATAAACACAAAGAATCAACTTTACACCAATTGATGTGTAACAGAAAGAGATGCAGACAAGCCGAATTTAAGGATGTTGTCAACATCGGATTATCAGGAAGTTAGAAAAGCAAAGACGCTTGTTTAAAGATATAATTCCAATCAGATAGTTATAAAGCCGACCCTCACCTTTTATACCTAAGCAACCTCCACCGTTGCACCGCTTGCTAATATTCGGTTATCTCTTTTCATTTTACCTGTACTACTCATTAAGCATTTCCTAACTTAAGAAGGGCGTGTTCAAAACGCAGCAAATTACTACAGTCCCAAGTGGAAACAAGAGAGAAGATACGTCAATTCTCATTAAAAAANTTTCGATTTGGCTCGAGATCCGCACCTAAAAAGCGAAAATCCCTTTCAGAAAGACTTATGCGATGAGCGCGGCTTAAAAACGGCTAAATGGCATGCTCGTTATTCGTACATTTCGCACACCATAATGGCCATTATCCATCTAGAATACGTCACGAGCATTAAAACATGTAAGTACTTATTTCGGAAGTTTTCTCCTATATGTTGAAACGATTACCATAATGGGAGGAAAATAAGGCGACTCTAGGCTATCGATTCCCTTTAATACACATTCATTTTAGCCAACTACAGTTGGGACGTTTAAGATTGGCATAGTCCGTAATAAAACAGTCGCATTTACATTCTTCTTTCAACCTACTAACTAGACTAGAGCGGTTGCTGACAGACGTCATAAGGAAAATCGTAAGCATAGAAAAGAGATGTCACGTAAAAATTGCAGCGAACACTAATAAAGACAAAGAAACAACATTACACCAATTGACGTGTAACAGAAAGAGATGCAGACAAGCAGAATTTTAGGATCATGTCAGCATCGGATTATCAGGAAGTTAGAAAAGCAAAGACGCTTGTTTAAAGATATAATTCCAACCAGATAGTTATAAAGCCGACCCTGACCTTTTACGTACCTAAGCAACCTCTAACCGCTGCACCGCTTACTAATATTCGGTTATCTCTTTTTATTTTACCTGTACTACTCATGAAGCATTTCCTAACTTAAGAAGGGCGTGTTCAAAACGCAGCAAATTACTACAATCCCAAGTGGAAACAAGAGAGAAGATACGTCAATTCTCATTAAAAAAAAAAAACAAACCCACGAAATCTACGATAATAGTCAACAGAGACGTAGCCAGGTTTTTTTTTGAATGGGCCAAGGGTGTGCCATATACAAAAACAATTATAGTTCATTTACTTTCTGTAGCGATGTTCCCCTTCCAATGTCTGGATGCGCACTGGCAAAATCGTAGGTAGGGAGAAAAAAGGTCATTATACTGTCGACTCTTGTTCATTAAACATACTTTTTCATAGAGTATCTGCCAAAAGTTTTGTTCAATCATGAATAGTAGTGCGAGTCGAAAACAAGTTTTAAAACAAATTAGAAAGAGGTAAATTAGAAAGAGGAGACTGTGGTAAATAATAAAAATAAAGTCTTTAATATGTCTTCAAATACAAATAAACATCTCGTTAATATTTTCAGTAATAAATGACACCAATAAGAGCACTTTTCAGCAATGCAATTTTAGTGGATAAAATGGTCAATTTTTCCGTGCAGTACTGTACGGATTATACGCTCCTCACCGGTTAAGAGTTTGGCCGAGAGTTGTCTCCTTCCTTTTCTGGCCTAGTGTTATTCTTTTTTACTCTGCG